GGTTGCTGCCAGTGGGCAAGGCGTCGGATAACTGGGGACAGAGAGGAGAGGAGGAGGGTGAGGTGGGTGACGTTAATCCCGGGGTCAGCTTGAGCCCTCCAACACCCAGCTTTGGCGCCGAGGGCGAGCGCTCAGCTGCTCGGTGAGTGCCTGGGCTGAGGTTTCCAGAAAACCAGTAAATGGGGATGTAAACGGAGCAGATTTGGGGAGTTATGCAGGTTAGTGAAGCCGAGCCCCCACCCCTGCCCAACGTCCCCGCTTCGAGGCAAATCAACAATCGCAGCCCCCACTATTTTTTTAAAGCAAGCCATACTCACAGAGAAACCGTCTGACATTTTTCCTAAAACAAACAGAAAAAGGACGCTTAAGTCATTTTTAACTTTCAACCATTTTAGCCACCCAAAAAGTAGAGATTTTTGAGAAGAGTTACAGTTTACAGTAGCCACGGGCTGGAAATGGGTCCAAGTCCCCGTCACGTACCTGCCAGGCAGAGCCAACAGCTCCGGTACCGCAGGACAAACCCTCGCCTGATACCTGCGGGAGAAACCGAGGGTCACCACCGCGAGCAGCCCAAATGGCTCCGGGGAGGAATCCAGCCCAAACGCCCTCCAGGTGACATCAGTCACTACGGGGTTGATGTCAGTTGATGTTGACCTTACAGCGCTTTCTTCACCGAAAGGGCTGTCAGGCTCTGGAATGGGCTGCCCAGGGAGGTGGTCGAGCCCCCATCCCTGGAGGGATTTAAAAGAAGGATAGATGGGGTGCTTAGGGACAGGGTTTAGTGGTGGGATGGCAGGGTTAGGTTAAAGGTTGGACTCGATGATCTCAAAGGGCTTTTCCAACCAAAGTGATTCTATGATTCTATGGTGTCAAGCAGAGGGGGACGCCGGACCCCACGGACCCAGTGCTGCTCTGCCCCGAGAGCTCTCGGCTCCCGCCAGCCTCACGAGGGGTTTTCACCGGGTTTTTTGCTCTTTGCCCACAGGGAAGCAACCACGCAACATCACAAACCACGCGAGCACCCTCCTCCTCCTCCAAGAACCACAGGCGGATGTGGACCTCTGCATTTGCTCTACCCCCCAAAAAAAAAATACCCATGCCAGGTCTGCTGTGCTCAGACATCAGGAAAATTTATTCCAGTCTCAAATCACTTTTTATAAAGGAAAAAAAAACCCAAAGGGCAGTGTGGTGAGCTGGTTCTTTCTGCCTCCAGCTGTTCTTTCTCCCTTTCTGGGGAGGGGGTGAGGGGGGGGGGGGGGGTAACCCATGGCCACCTCCCTGCCTTGACCAGGGGTGCGGGCTGTCTGTGGGGGACTCTGGGTGACACCCACACCCACGCAGGCTCTGTGCGAGGGGAAGGTGCCGGGTGACAACTCTCTGCCCTGCAAAGGCACGTGGAGGAGCGGGGCTGCTCGGCGGGGTGAGTAACGCGGTGTCGGCACCCACCCGGGTCACGGGAGCTGTTTTGTCCTGCACGCCAGCGTTATCCACTTCCCCATTCCTGAGGCATCATACCAGAAAAGATTCAATAAAAAAAAAAACAAACCAAAAAAACCCAAACAAAATCCCTGGTGGGGGCTGCAGCAGCAAACACAAGCTACCTGGGGGGCTACAAAACCAGCACAGCACGCTGGGAGACACGCAGCCATGCGGGATGGATGCTGGCAGCAGGTCTGGAAAGGCGAAAGGAGGGGTGGCACCCGTGGGTGGAGGTCCCCTTTCTCCCCCCCCATGCAACCCCACGCATCCCCACTTGCCCCACGCCAGCCGGAGGGCACGGCGGGAGGGACACACGCGTGCCACCGGCCGCTCCGGGCCAGCGGATTAAAGCTGCTGTACAAGTTTTATAAGCCCACACCGAGCCGCTCTGCCGCAGCAGGGGCCAAACACACACCCACCGGCGGGCCAGGGGAGGCGGCGCGCGGGGCG